CAGTATTAGTATTGTAACAAGCCTCTACACTACATGCAATATAACATAACGGATTTAATTGTGTTTGTAGTTTAGTAAAGATGACTTAAAGGTAAGTAACATGCTAATGATCTGTTCAAAAAAAAAAAAAAGTAACATACAAATGCAATATCATGGAGTTGGACGTGAAGGCATATGGACTAAAGGCTAAAGTTAAAGGATTGAACTTGAACTTTCATTCCACAGCTACATAATGTACGTAAAGGAAAGATAAGTGAATCAAATGTTTTTCATAAATTCAAAGCGCATAACCAATGTTTAAAATTGTTAAATCCAAATTTAAATAAAACCAAACACCAAGTGAAACTGTGAAAGCTTCCAGTCCAAAAGTAAATTAAAAAAAACACCAAAACATAACAACAAATCACTCTTCTTGTTCTCCAACTTCACCACCCACAATTGATTCAAATGATGGAAGTGTCTCTACTTCCTCATTAACTTCATCTTCTGCAAGTGAGTTACTGAAGTTAGTAACTATATATTGAAACATAAGACTCCAAAATATATGATAATATGAACAATTTACCATGTTCATAAGCTTCATATCCTTTTAGCCAATTCCTACTGCATATCAGAGCTTGCACATTTTTTGGAAGTAGACGGCTCCTATACTTGTTAAGAACTCGCGATCCAATACTAAATGAGGACTCTGAAGCCACTGTTGTTATAGGAATACTAAGTAGATCACAAGCCATCGCAGACAAGTCACCATACCGATGAGCATTATCTTTCCACCAATTGAGAATGTCTAAGCTCCGAAAACTAGTCATGTCCAAAGGTGGTTCATCAAGATAAAATTCTAGACCTGTTTTTCCATTAACAATGCCACTGACTTTTCGAAATGCCAAAAAATCCTATATAGAATTAAAAAAGTTAGCTGTTATTTTAAATTGAAAACAGAATGTAACTTATGGAAAAAAAAAACTCACATCATAATTCTCAAACTCCCCTACTGTTCCAACAGCAGCAACAGTCTGTTGAACCGTCTCTCGTGGCTCTGTGGAAGGTGAGTTTAACTTTGATTTTTTGTCGTAGGTTGCATAAAGCTTACCAAGCTTTTTTTTGCAACTTCTTCATCTTGTCATCACGTGTACTCATGTCCAGCTTCCCAAAACAAAAATCGATCATTGGAAGCTTCATACGTGGATCAAAGACAGCTGCCATTGCGAAAACAAGACTGACTTCATTCCAATACTTATCAAACTTTTCTTTCATCGGTGGCACCATGTCTCTAACAATGTCATCTTCGCTTTCCACATTCATTTTAAGCCAATGATGGATCTTCCAAACCTGATAGAAATACAAGTTTGCAGTCGGGTAATGAGAACCTGACATTAAACGTGTGATCTCAGCAAAAGGCCTCAAAAAACGCCATATTTTCTCAGCTCGTGTCCATTCTTGGGTTGTAGGTGCCGTTTTATAACCTCTCTTATCAAATGTCTCCAACTTAACAAATGCTTTACGATACTTGATAGCTCTATCAAGCATAAAGAATGTTGAATTCCATCTTGTCGAGACATCCATTAACAGCCCCACATTCTCCTCTATACCCGCAGCAACAACACATTTTTCAAACAATGTTTCACGAGTTTCAGAAGCTGTCACATACTTAATACTCTCTCTTATTTTGTGCAAAGAGCCTCCAAGTACCTTCAAACCATCTTGCACAATGAGATTAAGTATGTGAGCTGCANTAGAGCACAAAACGTTAGGATCTTGCTGTTCAACTTCCAATTACGATCAATGTAATGTGCCGTCACACACATGTATCCTTCACGTTTCAGAGACGTCCACAAATCAGAGGTAAAGGAGACTCGTCCAGGAAGACTCTCTAGTTCCCTCTTCAGTGTCTCTCTCTCACTCTCATACAATCGATACACATCTGCTTTCGCCATGTTTCGACAAATGAATTTGACATCAACATTCAAATACTTCCATGTCTCTCTCACCTTTTCATACTCCACATAAGAGTATGGTAGATCATGCTGGACGATTGTCTTAGCTACCATCTGCCTAAAAACAGTATGATCATACTTGTGGGATTGTACTTTCCCCTCGCCATTGAGTTGTTTCTGGTTTGGAATATTCCTTGGATACAGCCTACATCTATCACGATGCCTTCTCAACCCAGTTGTTCCATGAGAATGGGAATGCCATGCATACTCATTCTTGCAGTGATTGCATGCAGCTTTCATCTCTCCATTGGGTTTAACAACCACTTTAAAATCATCCCATACATCTGTGCTCTGCCTAGCTTCCCTATTCTAAGAATCGGTTTCAACATCATCTAGTTCTTCTTCATCGAACTCATCATCAAAATCCGGAATCTCAGGTTCGCTCTTCTTCTTCTTTTGCCACTGAGTAGACGCAGCCTTGTACCTCTTCCCCTGAGTCATTGCCGTTCGTCTCCCACCACGGATCACAGCTTTCATAGGGACAGAATTCTTCTTAACTCGCGCCTGTGAGGACGAGCCAATGGTCCCATCAATAGTTGACTGGAACATTGGTCTCTTTGAGGCTGTTCCATAACTGGTTTGTCTGCGACGCTGGCTTGGCTGGTTTTGTTGAGTAACTTGGGTTGGTGGAGTTATTTCAACAGCAGAATCATCTTCATCATCTTCATCATCGTCAAGATTGAGAAGCCTTCTTTTGCTTCCTTTGCTTCCTTGCGTGTTTTGTTTAGGACTACCGGCATCATTCTCAGCTTCTACTGCATATCGTGCTAAGAGTTGCTGACTCTCGAGGTCAATGGAATCCAAAGGCTGGAAGTTAGTATCCATCTGGCTGTCTCTGTCGGTTCCCATGGCCTCTCAAATCTCAATTCTCTATTAGGTTTTTTTCAACTTCCGGAGCACACAATATGTCGTGAGACTTGGTTCCGTGAGTCTAGGTTAACTTTGTTAGGTTTTTTTAAAAAAAATCCTAATTATTTTAATTAAAATTTGTAAAAATAGATATTTCCAAATTTTGCAGCAAAAACAGTAAAACACCACGTTCTCTAACTCTAAGGCTTAACAAGAAAATGAATTCAAACAAGAAACCTAAGGCTCAGAGTCCTCATCTTTCTGCTCCATGGTAATCATATTCTCTTCTGTCTCAGCCTCGGCCACTGTGTTTGCTACAGCTATCTCTGCTTCCACCATAATAAACCAATCATCTTATCTTACAAACGTACTAACATAGGAATACATGAACATATGTGATATGTAAACGGGAAAAAGAAAACCAACCTTCTCCACTAAAGCATGTGTCGAATACAAGACCTGTAAGATGCTACTTCAAGAAAACCTGCAATAGAAAAAGTAATGAGTAAATGAGACTCTACTTCACAAAAGGACATCAGTTTCCATGTCGAGGAATGTACCGCAGAGATGAGCTGCCGTGTCTTCACGTCATACACCCGTAAATATCTGTCCAGCCCTGAACAGTTCAATATAACAACACACATATGAGACTGAAACGCATATGGATTTTCGAAATTATGTGGAGAATACAATGAATCTTCTTACCGCAAGAAGCTATTACTTGATCTTATGCTTCCAGAACACTTCCCTAAATAGTTTCCCAACAGCTTTCCTGCAACATAGATGATTGATTTAACACTTGTTTGATACAGTAACATTGTTGTTAATGATACGCTTGCAGAGAGAATCAACGAACCTGTTCGTATATTAAAAGCAGTGAGGTCAGCATAAGCATTCCCGACATAGATAGTGTGACGAACAGGACAGCGAGGTCAGAGATTGCTGTAATAGCCATCTCATGGAAATCAAAGGACCTGACAGGTCTACGTTGAGCAGCAACACCATAAAGACGAACCAGAACCATCAACGGGCAACATGCATGTCCGATCTTTCAAGATTTGTTGCTCCCTATGTCGGTGGAGGTCACCTCTGTTATCGCCTTTCACTATCTCTCTCTTGTTTTTTTTCAGGTGAAAACACAAAGCACAAAAGAAGAGAAGACTCTAGACACGCGGATTTTTCAGTGCCCCGCGGGCTGATTACGGGCTTTCCCGCTTTAGGCCCATTACCGTACAAGCCTCTCCCGCTAGACCCGCAATATTACGGGCTTCTATATAATCGGCCCAATACCGCCCCGCAGTGGGCCTTTTGCGGGCAGGCCCGCGGTCCAAGTCATTGTTTGCCAACTCTAGCTAAATAGAGAGTTTTGTGTGTGTATGGAGTGCAAATACTCTAATTAAAAAGTGAATTAAGTCTATTAATGGATTCATTAGTATATAGTTTTTAGGTTAAAAAGACAAAATTATCATTAATGAAAAATTAAATTTGTTCATAAAATTAAAAGTAAATTTAAAAAAAAAAAAAATCATTCATTAAATAATATATTTTTGTTTTAATGGTATTGATGCTCATAATATATCTAATCTTCAAGCTCTTCTATAATAAAACAGATAACTTGTTTAATACATAGATTCTGTTTTTCATCATCAGTAACGAATCAACAACAGCAAAGACACATGATGTAAAGAGAGAGATGTAAACAAATCATAACTCAAATAAATCAAATTGGGTTAGTTTGTACCTTGACCGTCTTTTGTCTCCAATGGCTTGCTCGACTCATCCCTCCCTTTGAGGGTAAACACATATACTACTTGCAGCCTTTGGTCATCCCCAACGTTAAAGGCTTAGCAATATTCACAGTTTGTTTGTCAATACCCAAGCTCATTTAGCCTCGCTATCATTCAACAACTAACAGGGGTTTTACAGATTGAGATCTATTACAAAGCATTGACTCTAACAATAAGTAGAGACTAAAGTGGCATCAGAAGTCTTACAGATTTCTGACAAGTGGAGAAGCTTAGATCACCTACCATTGCCTTCAAGGGACCAAGGAAGACAGATTAGAAACACACCTGATTAAAGATTCTTCAACGAACCCTTAGTAACTTCTGAAGGAATTAAGCCACAATTGATCGAAACAATCACATCATCAGCAAAGAAGACTCCAACTTTTCTGAGGAATAACTGAAATTGTAGAAATACTGATACAATCCGATAGATAGGTACTTCTCAACAGAACAAAATACAACTTCGAGAAAATCTCAACAAGAGTTTTATTAAGGTGGAGAGAAAAACATGAACCAAAACCAAATAACATTAAACATCCTTCTCCTGCATTCATCAGCAGAAGGGAGTTGCAGGCATACTCAGTACATGCTGTACTTGTCAGTGGCCCCTTCTGGTCGAAGCATCTTGTAGATGGACATAGCAATTGGAAGAATGGCAGTGAGAGCAATCTGCAACTGATCCGAGCTGCTGGTTCGGAGTGTGATCTGACCGCTCATCTTGTTGTTAAGCCCTGCACGAAGCGCTATCTTTGAGTTCCTTCCAACAGAGACTTGGGACTGGAGGTTGCCTCCGAGGGCTAAGTCGCCTCTCCACTTCACCAGAGACAGTCCTAAAGAGTGTTGGTCCTGGCCTATTGGAAAATCAGCTTCCTTTAGCCTCACCTCCAGGTTCGCACCATACGCCGCATCTCCCTGTGATCGCATGGTTCCTGTACTGCCTACAAGCACAAACCTTTTCCCAAGTGATATTTGGTCCTCGAGTTTAACACCAGTGGCAATGTTCTCGCCCAAGAAAGTCACTGAACCTCCAAGTGTCGTCTTGTTCTTCTTCAAGTTCTTGAATTTGGTTTCTCCTCTGACCACATATGCAAGCTGCTTACCTACATTCTGGATATCGAAACCTGCCATGGTGGAGCCACTTTCACCGTGCTTAGCAGACACGGAAGAGTCCAGATGAATGTTGAACTCTTTCTTGTCCTTGGTGGTTTGGACAGTAGCTGTAGCAGGGAACCGGCTTGCTATAGCAAGACTGTATTCTGCATTGACACCGTCATACCCACAGTCATGGTCCCAACCATGGGTATCCAATACTGGCCTGGTAAGGAGCTGTGAAGTGGGCTCCAGGAAACGGTATCGGTAGGCTGAATTATCACTGTCAAACGAAGGTGGCAAAACCATATCTGGTAATGGAACTGGCACTGCAGCTGGAGCACCGTTCTCCGGATCCTCTTCTTCACCAGGATATCCAAACTCATTTTCACCCACCTTCTTCCCGTTTTTCTTCATCTCTCTCATCCTCTTCAATTCCTCTCTCCATTGCTTCTTCTGGAGAAGCTTTACCCGATAATCATACTCCTCCAAATATGCCTTTCTCTGTTCCTTTGAGAGTTTTGCAAGTTGGGTTTTTCGAAGAGGCTTAAATGGTGGCAGCTGATCATACTCATCTTCATCCCCATCTTCCTGCTCAGTATCAGACACGTCATCAATTTCAATATCAGAGTCAACACTATCACCTCCTTGGTCTGTAGGGAGCTTAGGATGTGCACGTGACTGCAATAGCGAAGACAGCAAGTACGGGAGAGGTGGGGATCGAACTCGGAAACCAAATAGTTTACGCTGGTCCAATGGTTCTTGAGGCTTCAGTAGAGCGTTTGCTTCTGACAAAACCTTCAGGGAGTAGCACAACAGCAACAACTGAGGTCTCCAAGTTTGACCATTAGGCAGAACCTTAACTCCCTCCCGATTCTTCCTACACAATGGATGATTCTCAACAAGAGAAACTGGATTCATAAGACTGGGGTTCATCAAACGCAAATCCCCAACGGCCTGTCCAATAGACTGTTGAACAATATGTGAGCACTGCGCTACAAACACATCATAGCTCAAAGGGGCGCCGGATGGGCCATCAGGAGGGGCTGAAGCTGCATGGGTCAATGTCACTATGGCATTTTTCCATATGGATGCACCAAGAGAAGCAGTAACCGTCCTTAGCAAGGGCAAATTGTTCAAGTCTCTGTTCTGAGTATCAAGCCGATCCACATAGAGAACAATATCAGGGGGACATCTCTTCATTACCTTCTTCACTGAAGACAACATTTTGGAATTGGCACTTTGATCCATCGCAGCAGGCTTCAAACCAGGGGTATCAATAAAGGTAATCTTGATGCCACCAACTGTCTCAGATACTTCTCTTACTGAATTGGTTGAGAGCCCAAAAGCATCAGTGGACGCCTTCTGATTTCCCAAAATGGAGTTAATCGTAGCACTTTTTCCAACCCCAGCTTTTCCAAGGACCAGTATGTTTAGCGAGAAGTTCAATTCTTCGTTTCCCTCAGCCTCATACTCCACAGCCTTCTTCTTTGCAGCATCAAGACTGAATAACTGCCCTGTTTGTCTCCCAGCAAGTAGTGCAATACGGTACAGAACTTGCGCTGCAATTGAATCTTCTGCTGACTGCCCCAACCTCTGCAAAAGCCGCAAAAACTTCACTCGGAGGCTCTGCAACTTCTCCAATTTCTGTTTCTCTTCCTCGCTCAAGTTTATCTCACTTTCATCCACTGTGACATTCGGATTAGAGAAGATGTTGGGACGGGGGCGTGGAGCAGCTGCAGGTTTCAAAGGTTTAAAAGAAGAACTCAAGCCAGCAGGGCGATCCATAGAGAAAAGCTTCGTACCATCCTGCGATGTTATGGTAAAATTGCCACCTTCTGAACTTCCACCACCAGTGGCTGCCTTCAACAGTGCAGCCAAAGCTTCGGAATCAAACATTTTCTCCTCACCTTCATCCTCTGTGTCTACATCCTCCTCAGAATCAGTGACAATCTGGCCGTCAATCCTATCTGACATATTGTTAGAAATATTTGCTTCATCAGAATGGGCCTCGATACCCGAAGAAGCCTTTTCAAGCTCTGCCAAGAACTGTCTTGCAGCTTCAGAACTCCCAAATATCATCTCTTCAGTTTCTTCTTCACTATCAGACCTATCAACAACAGCAACACCTCCTCCAGAAGGTTCATGTTCCACCTCCTTGCCTTCGAGACTAAACTCACGAGAAACAATGTCAGCGACTGGGAGTTTGTCTCCACCTTCTTCCGCAATGTTTCCTTCAGAAACTTCCTTGGCCTCTGGGTTAGAGTTTGGTTCAGACTGTAGCTCAGCTGCTGGCTCTGAATCCTCTCTTGCATCAACTGAACCCACAGTTAAACTTTCAGACACATGCAATTCTTCTTCTGATCCACCTACCTTCGGTTCATCAGGCTCTACTGTGGCTGCCTCTGATAATTTCTCAGCAGCTACATCCTCTGCCTCAGCAGCACTTCTATCAGCAAATTCTAGTTTGGAAGAGTCTGCGATAGAGTCTGCTCCAGAAGTCAACTTTTCTCCTACCGCCTCCACGGATTTATTAGACTCAACTTCCAATCCATCACCATCATTATGGCCAAGTTGATCAAACTTATTAGCCACTTCAAGACGTTCACCATCCGCATTAAGCTTCACCTCCTCGATTCCCTCTACGTCTCCTACAACAGCCACCCCTGGTTTTGCCACGTCGACATGCACAGATTCTATAGTGGATGAGTCCACAACTTTATTAGTTAACTCCACACTCCCTTCCTCAGCAACATCATCAATTTTATCGTCAACATCAACTTTTCTCTCCTCCTCGTTGGTTTCACCTCCCTTTGTCACCTCATCATTATTTTTGGATACAACAGCTTCTTCTTCCACACCCGCGGCTTTACTCTCATTCTCCATTTCCGGATTCTCATTAAGCATCACTTCAGTGGAAGCCTGTTTCTCTGTAACATCAACACTCTTGTTTTCAAGGTTAAGCTCACCATCGTCTTCAACATCATTCACAGTCTCTTCAGCAACAGAAGCATAGGTTTTTCCTGTTAACAAATACATCCGATTAAATCCCTATTTCCAAAGACAGGATTCAACCCTACAGAATGAAGATATAAACGATGAAGATAAAAAACAAACCTGATTGTGCATTGACTTCAACATCATCAACACCCTCTTCAACCTTCTTGTTCTCTTCGGTTGTTTTCTCAGAGACAACCTCCGGTTCCGGAGATAACAACGAAGCAGTCTCAGGTGAACCAGCCTCGTCGGAAACTTTCTCATCAGCTCCAACCTCTAAACTCGTTTTCACCTCCTTATCAGCAGCAATACCTTTATCTGAATCTCCAGACACAGCCTCTGGTGAGGAAGCAAACTCCTTCTCACTACTCACAGCCTCACCGTCCTTACTGGCGGATACAGCGACAACAGAAGCATAGGTTTTTCCTGTTAACAAATACATCCGATTAAAACTCTGTTTCCAAAGACACTATTCAATCCTAAGATATAAAAGATAAAGAAGATAAAAAACAAACCTGACTGCTCATTGTCATCAACATCATCCACATCCTCTTCAACCTTCTTGTTCTCTTCTTCAGTAACCCCTAATTTATCTTCTCCAGTTAATTTCTCAGAAACCGCCTCTTCAACCTTCTTATCCTCTTCTTGGGTAACCCCTACATCATCTTCTCCTGTTGCTTTCTCAGAAACAGCTTCCGGCTCCTCAGATAACAATGAAGCAGCCTCGTTGGACACTTTCTCATCAGCTCCAACCTCCAAACTCGACTTCTCCTCCTCCTCCTCCTTATCAGCTCCACCAACAACCCCATCAGTGGAAGCCTCTTTCTCACCAACATCAACACTTCCATTCTCAAGCCTACTTTCACCATCCACACCCTCTCCAACCTTCTTATTCTCTTCTTCCGTTATCCCTACACCATCTTCTCCACTTTTTTCCTCAGAAACAGCTTCAGGAGCAGCCTCAGGTGCCCCAGCCTCATCGGAAACTTTCTCATCCACTATCCCTCCCTGTTTCTCTGCAACATCAACACTCTCCTTACTCTCACCATCTCCTTCAACCTTCTTATTCTCTTCTCCAGCCTCAGACTCCGGAGATAACGATGAAGCAGCCACGGGGGAAGCCAAATCCTCGTCGGAAGCTTTCACATCAGCTCCAACCTCCAAACTCGACTTCTCCGCCGCAGATAAAGCATCGGCTCCACCTTTATCCGAATCTCCAGGCTCCGGCGAGGAATCAATCTCCTTCGCACTGCTCACAGCCCCACCGTCTTTACTGGCGGCTGCAGCCGCGGCGACAACGGAAGCATAGGTTTTACCTAATAAAACAATATCATCCGATTAAAAACCCTAATTCCCAAATATATGATTCAATCCAATAAAAAACAAGTGAGGAAAGGAACAGAAAGAGAAGAGATTACCTGATTGCCCCGAAGAAGCGTAGAAAGGATTCTGCTCTGGTGGCGTAACTGCCGCCTTCGAGTCCATATCGATAAGGGTTTTGAGAAAGGAAGGGTTAACCCCTTGAGAATTGTGTGTCTCTCTCGTTGGAGGAAGAGAGAGTTGGGGGAGAGATAAGGTTAAGTGAGCGAACGGAAGATGACTCTCTTGCTTCGGGATTTTATCAACTTACAGAAGGTGAAATGACATACCTACCCTCGGCTGAGTTGGTGAAGTAACGCTCGTGTGCTCTACCCAACGCCGTCGTTTTTTAAGTGAAAGCAGAAAAAAAGAATAATACACCATAGGAGTATCTTTTTTAGTTGTGTAATAATTTTCTTTTTTAAGAGTAACTTATAAAACATATATATCTTAATAAAAAAAAAAACATGTTTTGTAAATTTTAGTTCTTTAATTTAATAATGTAAATTTTTTAATATTTATTTTCATGGAAAGTATTTTTTTAATCTAAATCAAGACATTATTATCTAATATATTTAAAAATTTTCACCAATGTAAAATGTTTGATGAGATCCTTATTAAAATTCGGAGTTTTGAAGCCCTGAGAGTTAGGGTTTTTGTATATCTTCTCTCTGATAAAACACAACAAAAATAAAACCAAAAACAAAATCAAAAAGGAGAAAATAGATAATTTCTAAGATTTTTTATGAAAAAGAAATCTTGTTTTTTGTTTTCTTCTTGATTCTCCTCATCTCAAGATTTTGCTTGGTCACAAAATATTCGTTTTAAAAAATGTAATATTATCTACTTAATGCTCTTGGAATTTTGTATATATTGGATTCCATATATTAGTAGGCCTATATATTAGGCCAGAATTATAGTTTATACATATAATTGGGCTTTTATACAAGGTCCATTTATTATTGGTCCACGAAGCTACAAGATCTCAAGGAACTCCGAAGAAAAGTAAATACATCATTCTTGATGTTGTAATAGAACTCTACGGGTAGAAACAAAGAATAAACTGATGTCTCTGCACAATACATGTTTCATCCACTTAGTACAACAACATGCAAAGCCAAGAAACAAAACACAATGTCCTAAAACGCTATAGATCCAGATTCAAACTTGGTTGGTTTGCACCTTAACAGCCTTAAACGCGGGATGAAGCAACCCCAGCTCGTCTTTCATCTCCAACGGATTGCTACTCTCGTTCCTCACTCTCTTCACTTTGCGACTAGCTAAAGACTTGTGAGTGAAACCATATATTTGCAGAATCTGGTTATCACCAAAGTTAAAGGCTCTTACTATTTGTTTTAGACACTGTTCCACAGGGTAGTCTCCAAACTTCCCGCAGGGTTTGCAACCGACAAAGTGAGTAACCAGTGGCGACCTGTGGTCGCCTAGACCAGGGTGGTAGTTCTCTATCATTTCTTCGTATCTGTCAACGAGAATCCCCCAGTATCCGTGAAGATAGTATCCACTCTCTAGGTATACCTAACAATGATCGGCTCAAATTAGAATATAGACCAAAACCACAAGAAGATATAACTCTTTTTTCTTCGAATGATAAAACAGTAAGTGTGGCTGGTGAGAATCGAACTCCGTCTCCACGGCCACAACATGGGGTACTAACCACTATACTACAGCCACTTTGTTTTTTTTTAACCTTTCACAATGTACAATAGTACTTGTTAGGCTTTCATGGACGGTCTTAAAAAAAGTGTGGCTGATGAGAACGAACTCATGTCTCCACGGCCACAACGTGGGGTACTAACCACTATACTACAGCCACTTCGTTGATAAAACTTACACAATATAGAATATTATACAGTATGTGTTTCGCTTTCATGGACATGCCAGATATAAACTATGGTGATCAAGATCAGATGACGCAAATACTCTTACCAGTAGACAAAAAAGGAAAATAAGTTCAGTGTGGCTGATGAGAATCGAACTAATGCTTCCACATGGGGTTCTAACCACTATACTACAGCCACTTTATTAACAAAATTCAACTCACTTTGTATTTGTGATGAACAGATGTTATAAACTGACGATGCATACCACATTGTGACGTGTGAGCAAAATAAAGCTATATTCATGTAATCAAGAGATGCTATATAGAAAATAAACCAACAAGATGTAACTCACATTTTGATTTATAAGCAAGAGATGATCTACGACTTATAAATCTTACTATCAAATTTTCAGTTTATTACCTTATTTCCCCAAGTGTCTCGCTGAGTAGCCAAGAGATAAACCATAGCAGAATGATCATCAGCTTCGAAAACCGGCCTATCCTTAAGCTCACGGGTCAAAACCTTACACGCTTCCTCACGGATCTTCCCTTTAGGAGCCCAAGTATCAAGCAAATCAAGCGCCCATTGATTATTCCTAAGCAAGAAACTCCCAGTATTCAACCCAATCCAATTCTTATCATCATAAACCATCTCATTCCACCCATGCATCACCAGATTATAATCTTTATACCTCTCCCACGGAAGCTCAAATGCCATGTCAGTAAACATAGCATCACTATCCATCCACCATAGAAACTCAAAGGAAGCTTCGCCCAAAAACCAGCCATCTCAGCATCTAGTAAAGCCATGTTGTAGAAGATCTCTATCCCGTGAAGCCTACAGTAATCAATCTTGTTCTTGATGGACTTCAATAGGTAATGATCTCCGACAGGATTCTCACACGGTTTTGGAGCAGACCCAGTTACTAACAAGACACGTGGCTTGTTTGGTCCGATGAAGTCGGGGAAGTTAGGGTTCTTAGCTAACCAATCGGATCTCTGTTCATCCCAATCGGATATTTTGGGCCCGAGAGTGTACGGCTTGTTCGGGTCGGGTTTCTCTTCTTCTCCTTCGTCGACGAAGATCTTGTTGATGTCGAACGTCTCGTAGTTATTGCTACCACCGTCGCCGGAGGTAGAAGAAGATGAATCTCCGCCGGTTTGGATTTCTTCGAGGACACGGTGAGGCATCAGCTCGTTTACGAGATGTTTGGACAAGTTGACGGATCTCGTCGAGGTCTTGCTCCGGTGTACCGAATTTACCGGCGCCTATTGTGCCACGTAGGACTACTACGGTGAGAACGAGGCAGAGAACGGTTACCTTGAGGTGGCGTAAAGCTCTCTGGATTCTCCGGAGGTCCTAAGCACCTCTCGATCATCTTTCTCCGATCTTCTTCTTCTTCGAGATGTTGTTTATGGCAAGATCTGAGTTTCCATTGATGGAGATTCGAATTAGGATACAGTGTTTATTTGTCAAAGTTACTACAAGGGAGTTTTTGTTCAGACATGGACAGTCAAGGTTGTCTTAAGTTTTACTCGGTTCTGACGGTGTTTGGTGGTGTGTTGGTGATGTTGTTTAGACGTGGCGATATATCTGAGGTATGTTACTTGTGATCTATTGTCCTGACCGTTGATGTAGTATGGATCTAGATAGATATCGGAGTGCGTTGAAAACTTAGTTCATCAATTACAGTAGTTTTTTTTTTGGCCCGAAAAAGGTTGAAAAGAAAAGGGAACATAAATAGAAAATTATTTTTGATCAAAAATAGGAAATGATTTATGAATTTATTTGCTTCTGAAACTTTTTTTTTTTTTTGAATAACTTCTCTTCGTTAATACCGAAAACAGTGGATTTCTATGTTTGTTTGTAAATTTTATTATAAAAAATGTAATTAAAAGTCTCCTTTAACTCAATAATTTACCAAAATGCTATTTCTATTTTACATAACTATAAACGACAGGAGAAAGTAAAAGATAAATTGTATACATATGTCTAGTAATATTTTATTACGTTTGTGCAACAAAAGAAAAGAAATCCACAACCTTTTGTTTTTGTTTTTCAAACTTAGAACAAAGAGTTAATTGTTTTTAATTTTGTACATCAGGACTGATACTGTTGGTTATTATAATCACAAATAGAATTTACGGGAGATTAACAATTTGTGTATTTCAATTGATTTTGTGTTGATACCAAATTTACTGTTATCTGTTTTATAATTTTAAATTTTGTTAAAATATGTGTTACTATTTTAATAAATAATGAATCTTAATTTAAATACTCAATGGATTTGATTTTTTTTTTGAATTATTATTTTTTTTGCTAAAAATAGAAAAGCATATTAAAATAACACAGATTTATAACTAACTAAAATTCACTAGTTAGATTTGGAAATTAATAAATTTAATATTTAATACTTTATTTATAAATAAATTTCAAATCAATTAAATTTATTCAACAAATGACACATTCCAAGTATTTATTATAATCATAAGTATTTTAGTTACTGTGTTCTGTATGTTTGAAAACATTTCTAACATTGATATACCGAAACAATAAATATAAACATAATTGGTGACCATCATAGAAACGTTAAGAATGAGTAGGAAAAATGTAGAAGAATAAAATTATAGGAATGAAGAGAAAAACTATTATTTATCAACTTTGGTGAAGAATAAATTTGTTCTATATTCCTCTAAAATATAAAGAATGAAAAGAAAAACTATCCTATTATATAAAGCTTGGTTCTTCAAAATTACTAATTAATATGATGGCGAGATATGTTAATTATGTGTTTAAGATTATGACATGTGTGAATCTATCTCATTAAAATATATATACTAAGATAATAACCAAAACAATTTTTAAAAAAAAAATTAATTATAATTATTATCTAATAGTATTTTTCCATTTTTAAACCCTTAACAAAAGATAATTGTAAAAGATTATTTGATAATAATTTTCTTTTTAATATTTTGACATGGTTTAAAATATATAATGATTAAATATATATATATATATATATCTATATATATACATATAAAATAAGATAATAAAAAATAATTTTGAAAAAATAAATTTAAAAATTTACTTATTAGTCAAAAGTAACTTTAAAAATTATTTAATAGTACTTTTTTAGAATTTTTTTCAAAATCCTAAACAAAAATAAAATTTGTTGATTAACATGATTGTGACATATGAAAAAATTGTAAAAGATTTTTAAAAGTAATTTGTAAAAGATTATACAAAGATTGATTCTTAAACATTGCTAATTAACATGATTGTAACATATGAAAGTTATATATATTTATAATTTTGATATGTGTTAAACTATATCATAATTAATTATAAATATTATTTAATAGTAATTCCATTTCTAACATCTAAAACAAAATATAATTGCAAATAATTAGTTGATAGAAAATTTGACTTCTTTTATAAAATCGCAAGATTAAAATATATATACAAGGAATATAGTAAAAAAAAATTGAATTGTTTTTAAAAATTATTTATTTTGAAAAATAAATCAATTTTAAAATGATTTAATAGGGGTTTTTAGAAAATTTCCTTTTTAAAAATCTTAAAGACAAAGATATTTGTAAAATAATTTATTTAATACTAGATTTCCTTTCTAAAATCCTAAAGAAAAGATAATTATAAAATATTATTTGATAGTAATATTTTTTATGTGATAAAATATCTCATGATTAATAAAATATATAATAAGATGATAAGAGAAATTCTTAAACAAAAAGTAATTATATAGTTGTATTTTCTATACTTTTTTCTTTTCAAAAAAAAATTAAACAAAAATATTAGTCAAATAATTTATTTAATACCTACTATCGTCTTCCAAATTTCTAATGAAAATATAAGTGTCAGAAAATAAAATATTTAATAGTAATTGTTCTTTTTAACATCAAAAACGCAAGAAAATCGTAAAAGAGTGTTTAAGTAGTTTTCGTTCTTCAAATCCTAATCAAAATGTTTTGGAATAATTGATTCTAATATTTTTATGAATAATCTACCTTCCAATTAAAATGATTGATATTTTTTTATAAATTATATATAAACCAAAAGAAGTTACAATTATATATATATATATATATATATATATATATATATATATATATATATATATATATATATATATATATATGTGATTAAGTTCTCTCATGTTTTGTCACTTCTCATATTTTTGTAGCAAATATAATAAGAGATACAAGAATAATATTAAATGAGTTTTTCTGCATATTCATTCACATCTTCGCGTGATCTATTCTTTTTGGTTATCACATGTAGATGAAATAATATGTGACATCCTGATTTTTACACTAAAGTGATGTTGATTTTTTAAAAATATATTATTATCATGATGTCGTACATTAGTTACTGCCACAATTATACTTAAGTGTTTGTACATGTTGTTTTATGTAAGTTTAATGAGTAATGTGATTATAATGCTTATGTGTGTTTGTTCTTATTGGTATATAAAATTGGTTATGCTATTGTAGATCATGATACTACATAATTAAAATAAAAGAGAATGACTTTAAAATGGAATGTTGTAGGTCATTTAACTAAAGAATTGAAATCAAAGAGAAAGACTTTGCAGTAGATAATATTACTAATAATTTGATGTACACAATATGATTACTGGAGTAGAAGTTATATGGAAAAACATATTTTTATTCCTAGCATAAATTTCATACAAACATATGCAAGATAACCTTTCAAACTGAAATGATGTTAATTTCTTATATGAATTTGTTGTGCAATGTCTATCAATAAAAGTTAAGGTTAAACCTTAAAAGGTTTGTCTATATTTGCCAAGTCCAGCCTTACAATTATACATCACACTATCAAGAGTCACTACAACTCCACAGTTTCAGATTTTTAAAACATAACGATATAGTCACACCATCTTATTGTATAAAGTTTGGTTTTTCAAAATTACTAATTAACCTAATCACAACACATGGCAATTATGTGTTTAAGATTGTGACATGTGTGAATCTATCTCATAATTTAAAATATCTATACTAAAATAATAACAAAACCAATTTTGTTTAAAAATAATAATAATAATTATTATCTAATAGTAATTTTCCATTTTTTAAAACCCTAAACAAAAGATAATTGTAAAGGATTATTTGATAGTAATTTTCCTTTTAATATTGTGACATGTGTTAAAATATCTAATGGTTATATATATATATATATATATATATATATAATAAGATAATGAAAAGGAATTTTGAAAAATTAAATTTTAAATTTATTTATTAGTTAAAGGTAACATTAAATATTATTTAATAGTATTTTTTAGAAATTTTAATTTTTAAAAATCCTAAACAAAAAAAATTGAAAAAGTGATTGTAACATATGACAGTTATATACTTATTAATTATAGTTATTATATAATAGTAATTTTTCATTTTTTAAATCTTAAACAAAAGATAATTGTAAATATTATTTGATACTAATTTTCTTTTTGATATTGTGACATGTGTTAAAATATTTATTGATTAAATATATATATATATATATATATATATATATATATATAATAAGATAATAAAAACTACTTTTAAAAAACTAAATTATAAATTAATTTATTAGTAAAAAGAAACTTTAAATTTTTAATAATATTTTTTTAGAAATTTTTCTTTTTAAAAATCCTCAACAAAAAAAATTGAAAAAAGCTGAAAAAGATTTTGAAAAATAATTTGTAAGAAACTGTATTGAGCTTGATTATTCAAAGTTGCTAATTAACATGATTGTAACATATGACATTTATATATTTATCAATTATAATTATTATCTAATAGTAATTTTCTATTTCTAAAATCTTAGACAAAAGAGAATTGTAAAAGATTATTTGATACTAATTTTCCTTTAAAAATTGTGACATGTGTTAAAATATATAATGATTAAAATATATATATACATATATATATAAGATAATAAAAACGAATATAGAAAATTTGACATGTTTTAGAATATCTCATGATTAAAATATATATACAAAGAAAATAGTAAAACAAATTTGTGAAAAAAATAATTTTCAAAATCATTTATTTTGAAAAATGAGAATTCATTTTTAAAATGATTTAATAGGGATTTTTAGAAATTTTCCTTTTTAAAAATCTTAAAGACAAAGATATTTTTAAAAATAATTTATTTAATACTA